CTTTACCTCCTCTTCCTGCCCCGCCCCTTGCCCCATTCTCTCACTCACTCACTCCCGCACTGCTGCACCCGTCTCACGCCCCTTTGCCCCCACCTTTTACTCATTTTTCTTCTGTTGCTATTTCTCTCTCTCTCTCCTCCCCTTCCTGGTCGAACACCTTCGTGCCGCCTCCTTGGTCCTGCTAGCTCCGCCTCGTCTTCTTGACCGTCCTCTCTTTTCCTTCCTCCTCTACTGCGCCGCGGGCCAACTCTCCTTTCCCTTCCTGACGCCACCTTTAGCTGTGCCTTTATTGCCTCCACCAGCGACAGATTCAGTCCCTCTCACTATCCCCTTCTTCTTCCTCTTTCGATATCCCCAACTCTCGCTCTCTCTTTCTATCGCACGCGTATCCCCTTTCGCCCTTGCATAACCCACGCACACCCGTCCCTTATCATTTATTATCACGCCATTCATGTTTAACAGTGTCCGTCCGCCAAGCTCTGCTGCAGGCAATCGCCCCCCCCCCCCTCACCACCACTACCACCACCCTGCAAGGTCTCCAGGGGCATAAATAAAACGGACGGCTCGCGCAAGGCCTGGGCCCCGCGCAGCGCCCGCATGCACAACATCGGACCGACGTACCTCCCGATACTGTAACGTACCACTGCGCGCCGATCTCGCGCGATAAGCAAAGAAAAGGGAACCAAAGTCGTACAAAAGGTAATGCTTCTATGTATTATACGCGCGATAAGCAAAGAAACAGGGACCAAAGTCGTTACAAAAGGTAATGCTTCTATGTATTATACGTGCGATAAGCAAAGAGACAGAAACCAAAGTCGTTACAAAGGGTACTCTTCTACGTATTACTAGCGCGATAAGCAAAAGGAAAAGAAATCAAAGTCGTACAAAAGATACTGCCCTCTATCATATGTTATAAGCGGAACACATGTCACATATACGAAGTTGTTTACCCTTTCGGTTGCGCGGCTAGGACGGCGAAACCGCACAATAATCCCTAAAAATCGCTGTCGAAAACAATCGCGTCAGCAAACAAGAAAGTGTATCATTTCAAAACCAAAACGGCAGAAACACGGAACATTAAACCCGGTTACACTGGAAACGCAAGTGTGTGAATGTCGCACACCTGCAGGTGTGTGAATATCCATTCGTACACTTGCGGGGGAAAAGGTGTGAATTTTCTAGGAAAAATTCACACCTTTACCCCTGCAAGTGTACGAATGGATATTCACACACCTGCAGGTGTGCGACATTCACACACTTGCGTTTCCAGTGTACGTGAAAATGAGAGGATGAAAACGGGGAGGGAGAGGGTGGGGGATGCGACGAAAAGGATGCATGGGAGGGATGGGAGTGGTGTGGTGTGGAAAAGGGGGGAAATGGGGTGACACACGCAATATATACCACAATACCGTAATACACCAGAGCGGCACCGAGCAACAAGTGACTCCAGCAGCAGCCAAATTCCAAAGGCGTACTTTTTCGGCCTTGACCGACAGGCAGCTGCGGGGGCGGCGGCGGGGGGCCCAACGTGGCCGTGATAGGGATTCGACAGCCCCCTCCGGAGGCGGGCGGCCAGAGGATAGAAGGTAGGGATTTGGGTGGAGAAAGGGGGAGGGGGATAGAAGTTGGGGGAGAGAACAGGCGATGCGATAGAGAGACACGCAGAGCGCGGCGCCAAAGTGACAGGCGCGCTGCTGCCGCCGACGCTGCCGCACCGCTTCTTAAAGCACCTCAAGGTGTCTCCATCGCCCCCACTTTTGCCTGCTCCGCTCCTCCCAATTCCTAATTAAAACAGCCCCCTCCCCCCCCCCCTCTCCCTCTCTACTCCTCCTCGTGCCCGCGCCTCGAACCATCGCTTCTCCAGCCACTCTGCCGCCGCCGCCTCAAGTCTCGGGACCAGACAACAGCGCGGCAGGCAGCTCTCGCTCGCTCTCTCGCTCGCATGCTCTCCATCTCTCTCCTCCTCTCTCTCTCACACTCCTGTCCTCTGCGAGCCTCTGGCAAGGCCCTCGGCATCGACCCTTCTCTCTCTCTCTTTCTCGACCCACCCCTCTCCAGCCCGGCACGGCACCGCCACTCCATCTCGCCCATTCACTCCCACACAACCAATAATTGCCCAGAGTAAAAAAAAACAACAACAACTAAAAACAAACAACAACTTCAGGCAATTTGTACACAAATCCGACTTGCGTCGAAGGAATGGCCGAAATCCAGATAAAAATGCAATCTCGAAGCACAGCATATATTTTTATTTGCGATGTGAGACGTATTTTATGGAAGGCGTTTTGCAGTAATGTATTCAACCTTCCGCTTAGACTGGACCGACCGCGCCCCGCCTCGCTTCTCCCGAATCCCCATTCCTCATGCGGGGTCGTGCACAGCGACACTGTGAAGAATTTATTTGTAAATTTAGAATGTATTTTTTGTAGTTTACAATTTACAAACAATGTCATCATACATTTAAGACACGGGCCATTTTTGCTCGACGAATGATTTCCAAGTCAAGTATCGAATTAAGTTTCGGTAAATTTACAACATTTCTTATGGCAAGTTTTAATGTAAATCCATTTAATATTTGCTACAGAGGAGGGGCTACAGCGAGGCGAGCAGGCGGCCCTCAGACCCAGAGGGCCGCGCTTGGGGCTTGCCTTTTGTAATCAGCGAGCAGTCACTGTGATGCGGCCCCCAAGCATTGCGGACGCAATACCAACATGCTGTAATTATTTTGTAGAAAGGGGAACTGCCCCCAGCTTTACAGGCGGGGAAGGTGGCAGAATTTTTGCTTCGTTTTAGCTCGATACTCCATACGTCTTACACGCTTGGTCTATTAAAGGGCCATCTACAATGGGAGTGGAGTAGGGTTTAAGAGTAGAGTAAGGGAAGTGAGGTTAGGATGCTTTTCCTCGCGAATGCCCCGCGAAGTGATATGTCACGGTTTGTCACACCACACCACGGGGATGCTTCGCGGATGTCCTCGCGAGTCACCCTCATCGCGAGGCATTCGAGTTTCGCGAATCGCGACTTATCACTTCGCGGGGCGCTCAGAAGGGGCCACTTCGTTACTCCCCATGCCCTACTCTTTCCTACGCTGCTCCCATTGTAGATGGCCCTTTACTTTAAACGAGAGAAGTCATATCTCATCTACATGAAACCGTATCAATTTCAGGAATTTTCTCGTACTACCAGCTTTCGTCTTTTAAATCCTCCAAAAATGAATAAAACACCGATGAACTTTTTTGGCAAACATTTTAAATTACTGTTTGTTTGTTTTTTTGGTCAAAGAGACAAGAGCGCGCGGCGTGTTGGCCAGTGCGCATACGCAGTGTCGTCGTGAGCCCCAGCAAATATACGGCAGACAGCAGAGGGACAGATAGCGCCACACACACAAACGTCCACACACACACGCAAACACACACTCATGCGTGGAGAGGCCCGCTTGCATAATCTGAGCCCATACCCCCCCCCCCCCTGGTCCGGTCCGGCGACACGCCCAAAAGGGGCGACGTCCCCGCGAGCTCCATACTACCCGACCTCTGCACGCCCCCACCCAGGCCTCGGCTCCGGCCCCTTTGCTCCTAAACCCTCGCGCCTGTCCTCACTATACCTATCCGGCCCCACAAACTTATCTCCCTCCCCTCCCCCCCTCCCTTTTCCCCCTCCCTGGTGCTGCTACCCTTTCAGCCCGACGCGGGGGACCACTTGCGCACCACTATGTGTCTGCTGCGTCGGCTTGAGGGAGGTGCGGAAGGAGGTGGGGG